TATAAAAAACTCAACTCAATAGCAAGAAAACAAATACTAAAAATAGAAAGAAATTATCTGGACAACTAAAAATACACAGAAAAAATTAGCTGGGTATGGTGGTGCATGCTTGTAGTCCCAGGTACTTGGGAGGCTGAGGCAGGAGGATCGCTTGAGTCCAGGAATTTGAGGTTGCTCTGAGCTAGGCTGACGCCACAGTACTCTAGCCCGGGAAACAGACTGAGACTCTGTCTCAGGAAGAAGAAAAAAAAAAAAGAAGTGTTGATGAGGATGTAAAGAAAAGGAAGCCCGAATTCACTGTTGATGGGAATGTAAATTAGTACTTTCATTGTTGAAAAGGAAAAAGTTCCTCAAAAAATTAAAATTACCGAACTGCCATATGATCTAGTAATCCCACTTCTGGGCATATATCCAAAGGAAATGAAATCAGTTTGTCAAAGAGATACCTACACTCTCATGTTCAAGGCAGTATTTTTCACAATAGCCATGATATGAAACCAACCTAAGTGTCTATCAGCAAATGAATGGATAGAGAAAATGTGCCATATAAACAAAATGAACTGCTACTCGGCCTTTAAAAAGATCGAAATCCAAGCCAAGCATGGTGGCGTGCCTGTAATCTCAGCTACTGAGGAGGCTGAGGTGGAACGATGGCATGAGGCCAGGAGTTGCAGACCTAGTCTCTTAAAATTTTTTCTTTTAAATTAGCTGGGCACAGTGGCATCCGCCTATACTCCCAGCTATTCAGGAGGATTGCTTGAGCCAAGGAGTTTGCAGCTGCAGTGAGCTATGACTGTGACACTGAACACCAGCCTAGATGACAAAGCAAGATCCTGTCTTTTTTTTCTAAAAAAAGATGGAAATCCTGTCATTTGCAGTAACATCAATGAACCTGGAGAACATTACATTAAGTGAAATAAGCCAAGTACAGAAAGATAAATACTGCATTACCTCACTTGAACTCTTGTTCTCCGGCTGAATGTTACAAACAAACAAAAAATAAAATAAAAAAGTTGAACTCAACAGAAGTAAAGTAGAATGGTGGTTACCAGGGCTGGGGAGAGTGGGTGGGATGGGGGAGATAACTGGTCAAAGGATACAAAATTTCAATTAAAGAGGAATAAGTTAAAGAGATCTGTACATTACTTGATGTTCTAGTGATACTGAAAAAAGAGATCTACTGTACAATTTGGTGACTATAGCTAATAACAATGTATTGCATTCTTTAAAATCACTAATAGAAGATTTTTAAGTGTTCTCACCACAAAAAAATGAAGTGAGGTAATTCATATGTTAATTAGCTCTATTTAGCCATTCCACACGATGTATATTTTGAAGCATGTTGTACATAAATATAATTGTCAATTTAAAAATAAAAAATCACTGCTGAAAATTTTCATCTATAGACCAATTAAATTAGAACATATAAACATCACTGAATCTTATGATCTATTAATATTGTGTATCTTGACTTTTATGCTGTAAATTCAGCAAAATTTTGTAACTTTTAGTGTTCAAGACTTTCATGTATTTCATAAAACTTATCCCCCAAGAGTTTCATGTTCAGCAATAAGGAAAATATTTTTTAAAATTTAATTTACAGTTGTTGATATCTAAAAGACAAAAAATACAATTGAAATTTTATTGATTTTTGTATCCCATAACTGTATAAACTTCCATATTATTTCCAGTAGCTTTTTCAAAGACTTCTTAGGATTTTCTACATAAATGACAGTGTGATCTACAAATAAAGACAGCTTTACTTTACCAATTTAAGTACCTTTTTTTTTGCCTTATTGACTAGGACCTAGAACCTCCAGACTACTACTGAATGGAGTAGGCAATCTTGCCTTGACCTAAATCCTAGGGGGAAGGATTTCAGTCATTTACCACTAAGTAAAATGTTAGATACATTTTTCATACATGTCCTTTAGTGGGCTGAAGAAGTTTCCCCCTCTTCCTAATTTGTTGAGTGTTTTCATCACAAATGAATATGGAACTTTTGTCAAATGCTTTTCTGCCTTTGTAGAAATAATACACCGGGGTCTCCCCCTCTTTATTCTGACAGTATGGTGAACTACCTTGATTTATTTTTAAATATTAAACTAACCTTGTATTTCTGGCATAAACCCCACTTGATCACAGTACATCGTTTTATAGATTACTGCATCCTTTTTGCTTGTATTAAGGATTAACCTAATATATTCATGAAGAGATGTTTACACAGTTTTCTTTTTCTATAATATCTTCATTTGATTTTGCTACCAGGATAAATGCTAGCCTCATAAAACGAGATGGGAAATACTCTCTCATGCTTTATTTTTGTAAGAATTTGTGTAGGACTGCTATCATTTCTTCCTTAAATGTTCAGAGAATATTCCAATGATGTCATCTGGACCTAGAGTTTTCAAAGATGTCAATTAAGAAAGCATGTCCATTTCATCTAAGTTGGAAACTTTTCTGGCACAAACTTATTTATATTCCCATACTGTTTAATACTTGTAGAATCTGTAGGGATTTAAAATTAGTTTTTAAAAAAATTAAATTAACTAGGTTTCTATAACACATTGAGACATACATGTTTTATTTGTTTTTTTGGTTCTTTTTGAGACAGAGTCTCACTGTGTTGCCCGGGCTAGAGTGCCGTGGCATCATCCTAGCTCACAGCAATCTCAAACTCCTGGGCTCAAGCGATCCTTCTGCCTCAGCCTCCCGAGTAGCTGGGACTACAGGCATGCGCCACCATGCCCGGCTAATTTTTTCTATATATTTTTAGTTGTCCGATTAATTTCTTGCTATTTTTAGTAGAGACGGGGTCTCGCGCTTGCTCAGGCTGGTTTTGAACTCCTGAGCTCAAACAATCCGCCCGCCTCAGCCTCCCAGACTGCTAGGATTATAGGCAAGAGATACCGCGCCCAGCCCGACATACATGTTTTTCAAATAACCAGGTTTTGGTTTCATTGATTTTTATCTACTGTCTGTCTCCCTTCTCACTGATTTCCATTCAATATTTTTCCACTTTTATTTAATTTTGTTTTAATCTGCTCATTTTTCTTACGTTAGAAGCTTAGATAATTGATTTTAGATCTTTCTTCCACTCCTAACATGAAAATTTAAAGCTATAAATTTCTCTATAACCACAACTTTAGCTTTACCTCTTGATATCTTGCCAAGGTATCAGACTGAGATTTTATGGGCCTAAGATTGTTCACTTCCCAAAAACATCATGAAAAGAAAGCCCCAGATCCCAGTAAGTCCACCCAGAATTGTCAAAGAGTCCTACCAGACATTATTAGGTCCAGAAATAATGCAATCAATTCTGGGACATGGAGCAGTAACAATTTGGATTAATCAATGTGACTATAAGTTAACGTACTTGCAAAATACATTTATAACACCATGAATTCAACACATATCCTTCTTAATTGTCCTGAAGAAAATAATATTCCACCATAATAAATTCGAATATTAATAATACCACGATTGATCTATACATTCAACTACCTTCCTTTCCCTACCTTACCTCAAGGTTTTTATTTTTTTTTCCGAGACAGAGTCTCACTCTGTTGCCCACGCTAGAGTGCTGTGGCGTCAGCCTAGCTCACAGCAACCTCCAATTTCTGGGCTCAGGCGATCCTCTGCCTCAGCCTCCTGAGTAGCTGGGGCTACAGGTATGTGCCACTATGCCCGGCTAATTTTTTCTATGTGTTTTTAGTTGTCCAGCTAATTTCTTTCTATTTTTAGTAGAGACAAGGTCTCGTTCTTGCTCAGGCTGGTCTCAAACTCCTGAGCTCAAACGATCCACCCACCTCCACCCACCTCAGCCTCCCAAAGTGCTAGGATTACAGGCGTGAGCCACCACACCCGATCCAAGGTTTTCAAATTGATGACTGATTAGCTCAGTGCGCAAAGCACATATCACACCAATGGCACTACTGTCAGGGTGAAACATTACTTCTTACTCTATTTTAGCCACTGATTTTGTATCTTGCTAACACAAAAATTACTACAGATCTTACTAAATTAAGATTCAGAAGACTAACCTGATAGTTTGTGCAAAAAAAACATTTTTACTGATATACCTAGTCTGACTTGGTAATAAAAATACATTCCAATCGCAGAAACAAAGGCTCCAATTATTTAAGTTATTTGGCTGTAAATTATCTTCACAATTTGCTTCATCGGTTTTTTTTTTTTTTTGAGACAGTCTCGTTCTGTTGCCCTGGCTAGAGTGCCATGGTGTCAGCCTAGCTCACAGTAATCTCAAACTCCTGGGCTCAAGAGATCCTCCTGCCTCAGCCTCCCCAGTAGCTAGGACTACAGGTATATGCCACCACACCCAGCTAATTTTTCTATTTTTGGTAGAGATGGTGTCTCGCTCTTGCTCAGGCTGGCCACTTGGTTTTATTAAATAGAAGTACAACATACAATGTCACAGCAACTGTACATTTGGCCCTGGAGCCCTATAGAAGTATCATTGCCTAAAGATTGTTTCATAGTTCCAGGAGGATAAAAATATGACTAGTCTCTTGTTTTCATCAAATACACAATCTTACATAATGTTCCAATTTAACCCATCAGGCAAAAACAATTTCTTTTTTCTGAAGGGGATACAGAGGGAAAGAGGGGCAAAAACAGTTTTAATGTCCTAATTCAGCAACATTTTTATGTGAAATATACATAAACATGATTTGAGATCAGCTAAAAATTCAAACCCTTAAATGCTTGCCTCAAAAAATGTAATACATACACATTTCTTTATACATAAAAACTAAATGTCATGGGTTTAAAGCTCAACCATTCAATTCGTACAACTTTCCTAACAAGTTCTTCTCAAAAATAAATGTTCCCAAAACTTCTGGTAAAGAAGTCTAAGACTACGCAGTACACAACACATTAAAAGGGAGACAGGAGTAGAAGAGGAGGGGAAGCACAGGAAAAGGGGGAAGATGGGGATCTTCCAGTGCATTTACAACTTTACGCTAACTAGACCACATTACTTTCTAGGCTAATCTCAATCCTGGCTACTCAGCAGAATCACCTCCTGAGATGCTCTAAAAATGAGATGCTCTGGCTATAACCCAAATCTGCCAACCTAGAATCTTTGAGGGAAAAGGACCAGATATCTCCATTTTTTAAAGCTCCTCTAGTAATTAATATGCATGGCCAGCTGGGTGGAGAAATTTCAAATAGGGAGCCTCCTATTTAAAAAAAAAAAAATACCTTGATCTGCTGTCTTCGTAGCATGGCAAGTTCTCTCATGTCTCGGAATGGCTGTAGTAAATACTGATAGAGCTCAGTTGTAGCTTCCGCGAGGCTGCTGTAGGCTTCGTCTTCCATCTGATACAAGTCCAGAAGCTCCACCATGCTCTCTATATTCTTGTGCTTATCCAAGAGCTGTGGAACAAGAAAGTTTCACTAGTAAGAAAACAAATTATAATAACCTATAAATACTTACTTTGAACTCGCTACTATCATTTCGGGACCTTGGAACCCTAAAACACAGAAGCAAGCGGGAACTGACAGCATTGCTTGCTTTTTGTCACTGACTCGCCCCTCAGGTGTCTCACCATTCGCGACCACTGCCCGAATCATTCTTTTGGGGCTCAATACTACCGGCCTAGGCTTAACCCTTCAAAATTTTTTCCATCATCTAGTAGTCTCCAAATTTATTAGAAAATTTTTAAAAGTAACTTTTTAAAAAGCCACTTTGTTGCTAATTTACAAAGTAGTTTATCAGCTCTTGCTAATATTATCTTAATTTCCCCCCAAATCTTCTTGCCACTTCTTGCCTCATCCCGATTTGGAACACTTCCTCAATAACTTCATTCGATCCCTGCCTATCACCTCCTTCAAAATCAAGGTCAACAACAACAACAAAAAAAACCCTCAACTCTACTGAAGAGTTTTAAGACTGGCTATAATAGATGTTTATAACTCTCTTTGCATTCCTTGGTACCCATGTATGGCATGCATGTGTGTGTACATGTGTGTACATTCATTCATTTAAACCTCAACTGTCGACTGAGCATCTAATACATGTGAGGCATTGGCTTAGGAGCTGGGCATCCAAAAAACATGATTTCAGTCCTCATAGGGCTTATAGTGAATAAAGAGAAACCCAAAATGTTCTGTAAAAATTTCAAACTGTGAAATACTATGATTATAAACAAACATTTAAAAAGAACAAAATCAATACCACAAAACCAAGGGTCCTATGAAGAGGTGGGGAAATACTGGTAAACTTATGACCTAGCTTTGAGTAGGCAGAGAAATAGAGAAAAAAGGCTATCCAAAGAAGCTTTATTTAAAGAACTGAAAGAACTATGTAGCAAGACAATACTTTCACACATTTACACTTGGTCTCCGCTTTCCCAGTGACATTATTACCTCTCCAAAAGCATAAAATTCTTCTATTTCTTCTCATACCTATAGTTTCCATTACTATCTTCCTCCCTATTTTCTTACTTTTAGCTATCACATCATTTTGTATGTACACTTATGCTGAATTTAGACTTCAGATTCATTTCCTGTCCAGGTTTTTGGCACAATGTGCAGCAGCACCTACACCCTTTGTTACTGATACAGTTGGCAAAAAACAATCACCATAAATCAGATAATCTACATTTAAAGTGCTTTCATAACAACTGCTATACAAATATTTGCTATCATTCTGTTTTTATAAGGCCCCTGTAATCCCAACTTTCAAAGATAATATGGAGAATTTCCACTTCTGGTATTTCCCCTTCTGGTATTGGCTGAGTAGTTCTATCAGATCAACTTTCTCACCGAGAATAACCACAAACCCTGGGGCAAAATACTATAAAGCAACTACCTGGAGGTGCTACAGAGTGACTAAAGGAGGCAGAAACTAGAAGGGTCATCAACAATCCCTTGGAAGCAAGAAGGACCTGGGTGATTTTTTTATTCATGGCTTTCAGCCTGAGGATATGTCCCAGTTGGTCCTAAAAGAGGGAAGAGGTATGGCTAAAACTCAGATAGAAACCCACAGTCTTGCTGGCTTGAGGACAGATTTCAGGACAACCACAGGAACTAGAAAATAAGGGGGCAATGCTGAAAAGGAGACAGTCTAAGAAGTGGAAACCCCAAATTTGTATATAAGCTATACTCAAATCTCTGGCTGATCACTGGGTCCACACACAGGATAGGTTCTAAGCAATCTAGATAAAATTTAAGAATAAAAAATTAATATTTCAGCTGTTGCCTTCTACAAAAAAGGCAGAGTTTACAGTTTGAATCCAATCAACTTGACTGCCTGCTAAAAACAGAACTGTAAAAATCAATATTCTCTGGGGGAACATAAAAGAATCCAGATACTCTAACAATGTATCTCATTCAGAATGTCTAGGATGTAATCCAAAATTAACAGACCTATAGGAAAACAAACACAATACTCAAAAAGCAATCAATGGAGACCAACCTCAAGATTAAACAGATTTGAGTATAGCAGACAAAGATTCCAAAGCAGTTATTACAATGATGTCAACGGACATAAAGGAAATACGTTCATAAAGAATAAATTGAAAATCTCAAAGTAGAAGCTGAAACTAAAAAAATGAAAGGACATCTTACAACTGAAAAATACGATACCTAAAATAAAAAATTCACTGGACAGGTATACAGTATGATAGTATTGAGAGTCAGTGAACTTGAAGATAAATTCAGAAAAATCATCCAATGTGAAACAGAAAAGATAAAACCTCAGGGATCCATGGGACAGTATTAAAAGGTATTAACATACATTTAATTGGAGTTCCAGAAGAAAAAAATGGATCAGAAAAATTATTTCAAGAAAAATCCCAAATTCGGTGAAAAACTAATTTAAATATTCATGAAAAGCTCTGCGAACTGAGAAAATAAATACAAAAAGTTACCCACAACTAAGCTTATCATAGTCAAACTGCTGGAACTCAAAAGAAAATATTCTGAAAACAGCCAGAGAAAAACAACACATTAAGAGGAACAAGCATACCAATGAATGTTGACTTCAAATAAGAATCAATAGAGAACAGAAGGGGAAAAAACAAAACATACCTGTCAACCCAGAATTCCATTCAAGAAAATACACTTCAAGAACAATGATAAAATATAAACATATTCCCAGATAAATGAAAACTAAGAACTCATCACCAGTAGACAGACACTGTAAGAAAACGTTTTCTTAAAAAAAAAAAAAAAAAAAAAAGTTATGAAGGTTGAAGGGAAATGATACAGATGGAAACTTAGATCTTCAAAAAAGAATAAAGATTACTGGAAACAGCAAATAAGTAGACTATTTTTCCTCTCAATTTCTATACATATGAGTGTTTAAGGCAAAAATTATAATACTATATTGTGAGGTTTATAATGTATGTGACTATAATACATATTATGACACCTATAGCACAAAGGACAGGCATGGAGATGACTCTAACCTGATACATACATGTTCTTATATTTAACATGAAGTGTTACAATATTAAGTTTAACTGTGGTATAATGTCTATGACAAACACTAAAAGAATAAATAATTCAAGAAATTACAGCCATAAACCCAACATATTAAAGTTATATTCTAAAAATATTAAATTAACTCAAAAGAAGGCAGGGAAGAGAGGAAAAGAAATAAAAACCAGAGGATATTTTCATGTGCATACCTGAAACCAAAAAAAAACAAAACCAAGATACAAACAGAAAATAGTCCTAAATCCAAACTGGTCAAAAATTACATCAAATGTAAGTGAACTTAACTATCTAATTTAAACGCAGAGATTATCAGAATAGATAAAAAAGCAAGCCCCAAGTATGTGCTGCCTATGAGAGATGAATTTTAAACACAAAGACACAATTACTTCTCAGCCTTTGGGCTAAGATTAAGTGTAGTACAAAGACATAAATAAGGTGAAATCAAACAGGAAAGCCTAGCAAGGCTGGAGTGACTGTATTAACATCAAATAAAGTAGACTGCAAAATACAGAGTATTACTGGAGATAATGTGGAACATTTGATAAAGACAAAAGAGTCAATTCATTGGGAAGATATAGCATATGCATATATACCTACCAATAGAGATTCACAGTACATGAGGTAAAAATGGAAAGAATTTTAAAAATGAAGCAAAGACAGAGCACATATTCAGGGCAACTTGAATCTGTGCTCCTGGGTTGCAAAAGCAAAAAAAAAAAAAAAAAAAAACGGAAGCAAAGAGGCAAAGAGTCCACTTGCGCAAGGCTTCTTGGGCGTGGCTCCGGGTCATGGTCCTCAAATTTGGCTCAGAATAAATCTCTTTAAAATTGAAAAAAAGAAAAAAAGAAGAAAAAAAGCAAATTCACAATCTGAGTTAGAGATTTTATCACATCTCTCTCAGCAATTGATAGAACTAAAAGAATTCAGTAAAAAGAAAGATAATCTGAACTGGCCTATATGTATTCAAGAAACTCAATCAATAACTAATAACCTTCCAAAAGCATCTGGCCCAGACAGGTTAACCAGTGAGTTCTATCAAATATTTAAGGAAGAAATACCAAACACTCTACAATCTCTTCCGGAAAACAGAAGCAGAGGTAATACTTTCTAACTCATTCTACCAGGCCATCACTAGCCTACTACCAAAAACAGACAAAGACATTACAAGAAAGAAAATCCGGAGCTCCTTCATGTTACTCAGTCCCAGCCACAGGATCTCCTTGCACACTCCTTCCTTGGGGATTTCATTCACACTTGCTTTTTCCTCTGCCTGGACACTCTTTGCTCAGATATCCACAGATATGGCTCCCTCGCTTCCTTCAGGTCCCTGCTCAGATGCTATCTTCTCATTCGGGAATCTCCTGGACGATCCTATTATAGAATAGCTAGCTTCTCACCACCACCATTACTCCTCTCCCTCTTCCTCCATGTACTTTTCTCTGTAGCACTCCTAACCATCTAATATACTTATATTTACTTGTTTCTTTTTTGTCTGTATGCTCTCACCAACACTGCAATATAAGCTCCATTAGGGTAAGAACTTAGATTTGTTCACTGCTGTATCCCTCAGCAACTAGAACAGCACCACCTGGCATATGGACACTCAACAAATGCTTGTTGCAAAAAATCAAGAAAGAAAAGCTATAGACCAACAGCTCAAATGAACACAGACACAAAAATCCTCAATAAAATATTAGCAAATTAAATCAAACAATGTGTAAGAAGAATTATATACCACAACTGAATGTGATTTGATCCAGGTATACATGGCTTGCTCAATGTTTGAGAATCAATTAATGTCATCTGTCACTGCGGTCCCCAACCCCTGGGGTAGGTTTAAGCAGGAGGCTCTCTTGAGCCCAGGAATCTGAGGCTGCAATGAGCTATGATCACACGACTGCACTCCATCCAGCCTGGCTCACAGAATAAAA